TGGGAAGTAAAAGGATGGTGAGAGATAAGATATTTACATGGTCTTGGGGCGCTTGGGTGGCTCAGTGGGTTAAAGCCTCTGCCCTTGGCTCAGGTCATGATCCCAGGGTCCTGGGATCGAGCCCTGCATCGGGCTCTCTGCTCAGCAGGGAGCCTGCTTCCTCCTCTCTCTCTCTGCCTGCCTCTCTGCCTACTTGTGATCTCTGTCTGTCAAATAAATAAATAAAATCTTAAAAAAAAAAGATATTTACATGGTCTTAAAGTATCTCTCACAAGAGATTCATTAAATATAAAGAGGAAAATAATAATCTTTACAGTAAAGAAATCTGGTGAACACCACCACTCTAACCAAGTAATTAAAGTTAATGTCATTAGTAATGAGACAAATTGATAGAGTGTGCATCTAATGTGGGTGTTTCTGCCAGAAACACATAGCCTACATCTAATCAGAGTATCAAACAAAAACTTATGACCTTATAGAAAATGTCAAGATCATGAAAGCCTGAGATTAAAGAATATTAAAGAGACATGCCAATTGAAGGCAACTTGTGATCCAGGATTTTCTTCTTCTTAAAGATACCCCCAAATATTATTGGCCAATTAGAAACATCTGAATAGGTTCTGTAGATTATCCGGTAGTACCGAATCAATATTAATTCCCTGATTTTTATAAGGGAACAATGGAAGAAAATAGCTTTATCTTCTGGAAATACACAACTATTTGGGGGATAAAAGAGCACATGTCTGCAACTTATTCCCAAATATTTCAGGAAAAGAAAGTAGATGATAGATGATAGACAGAATGATAACAAAATAAATGTTAGGGAATCTGGTTAAAAGGTATATGGGAGGGCGCCTCAGTGGCTCAGTGGGTTAAAGCCTCTGTCTTCAGCTCAGGTCATGATCCCAGGATCCTGGGATCGAGTCCCACATCTGGCTCTCTGCTCGGCAGGGAGCCTGCTTCGCACCCTCTCTCTCTCTCTGCCTGCCTCTCTGCCTACTTGTGATCTGTCCCTGTCAAATAAATAAATAAAATCTTAAAAAAAAAAAAAGGTATATGGGAATTCTTTGTACTGTTTTGGCAACTGTTCTATAACTCTCACATTATTTAAAAATAAAAAAAATCGGGCACTTGGGTGGCTCAGTTGGTTGAGTGACTGCCTGTGGCTCAGGTCATGGACCTGGAGTCCTGGGATCCATCCGGCATCAGGCTCCCTGCTTGGCGGAGAGTCTGTTTCTCCCTCTGACCCTCCCCCTTCTCATGCTCTCTCTCTCTCTCTCTCTCTCTCTCAAATAAATAAATAAATAAAATTGATAATGGTGAAGAGAGCAGTACAGAGCAGATTCAGTAAAGGAGGATGATATGATGGCTCTGGTCTAGGGGACCAGAAGGAGAAAGAGATGAAACTCCAGAGAACTACATGGACAATTTAGACAAATCAGGCACCATCTCCTGGCAACAGACAAAGGCAGGAGACATCGTTCTTTTTTAAAACAGGAACTGTGGCCAACCTTGAAAATAAATCCTGTTCTTTTTGCCAAAGAAAATAAAATATGGATTTTCCCTGTTAGGATAAATACCAGTGTCTGGTCACATAAGGATATCTCATCAAGGCTTTGTTATTCATGAAGGATGAAAAACTCCTGGTAGTAATGTTTGGATTTTAGCACGTATCAGCTGAGCTGTTGTTCCTCTTTCTGGAACAAGGCAGATGGAGTCTGAAATATACAACCAGTGGAATGGAAGGCTGTAATTCTTTGTGTTTGTATCATTTAGTGCCGTCACCCAGATATGTTCCCAGTACACTGCCCTTTGTACAGACTTAAGACTGGAACCACAGATGTGCACTAAAGCCATTCAGCAAAATCATACTCATTTGAATGAACAAAAGAGGGGATATTCAAATTGTACTTAAAAAAAGAGTGCATACCCCTACTGCTGTAACTAAATGCAATTATCTCTTTTAACCCTTGCCATCTTCAACAACCAATATTTTAGAAAGGACAAAACTGAGACATAAAGAAGGCTAAGTACTGGCCCCAAGATCACAAAACTACCCAGTAGCAGAGCCTAGATTTGAAGCCAGGTCTTTCTGGCCTTCTGCCTTTCTTCCAGCTATAGGCCCCTTCCCTCTTCCCCCTTTTCTAAAACTTCCTGGGTATACTTGCTCACCTCCCAGTCACACTTTAACCCCTTCTGGTCCTGCTCCTTTTAGGACTACTCTTTATGGTAAAAGCACCTGTTATGACAACTGTAGGATTTCAATGGGGTGGGCATGTCCTTCTTCTTGGAGTACTTCTTTGGCTTCCATGACTCCATACTCCCCTGGTCTTTCCCCTGTCTCGCTGGCTGCTGCTTCTCTCTCTCCTACACTGATGCTCCTCTTGTATTGAATTTCTAAATGTTGATTTGCTTCAAGGCTTGGTCCTAGATCCTCTATGCTTCTCTATTCTAGCTCTTTCTGTTTGTTCAACACTCAATCAATTTTATTGAGAGTCTACCAGATGCCAGGCTCTGCTGTAGGCACTGGAAATAAAGCAATGAATTAAAGTTCCTGCTTTATAAAGCATACTTCTGGTGGAAAAGAAAGAAACAAACACCAAAAAATAAGGGTATAATATAATGTCGGGTAGTGATAAGTGCTATGAAGAATAAAAAAGCAATAGCAACAGTGATTTTTTTTTAAGACAGGATGGGCAGGGGAGGATACTCTAAGGAGGAGACATTTATACCTAAGAAAAATAGAATGTGAAAGAGAGAAGTTAAGGATGATTCCAGGTTCCTGGCTTGCATAAAAGGAAGAATGATGTTGCTATTTGTTGAAATAAGGAAGACCAGGGGATGAAAAGATTGGGGAGGGGAAAATCAAGAATTCTGTCTGGAGGGGCGCGTGGGTGGCTCAGTGGGTTAATCCTCTGCCTTAGGCTCAGGTCAGGATCCCAGGGTCCTGGGATCCAGCCTTGCATGGGGGGGGGGGGGTCTCTGCTCAGCGGGGGGCCTGCTTCCCTTCCTCTCTCTGCCTGCCTCTCTGCCTACTTGTGATCTCTGTCTGTCAAATAAATAAATAAAATCTTAAAAAAAAAAAAGAATTCTGTCTGGTTGTATTAAGGAGTCATTTGGACACGGGAAGTAGTTATTTGAATAGATTAATTTTCTCTTATGTATGAATCCTTCCTCAGGTCTTAGGAGACCTTCGCTGGCCACTCTATCTCTGAAAGCATCCCACCTGCCTCTTCTCTCTTGCCCTCCTTAGTTAACTGTCTTCGTGATAGTCACCACAATCTGTAAAAACCAAACTTGGCTATTGTTTGGCTACTCCCACTAAAACTATGTCCTGTGAGAACAGGAATCTTGTCTGTCTTTTTCATAGCTGTGTCCCTGGGCTTGGTATTGTGCCTGCCAGAGAGAAAGGGCTCAACAAATCATCCTTACATGAGGGAACAAAGGGGATGTCCGTCCTCTGGAAAAGTCAGCACAAGTTGGTTCTTATCTGAGCTTAACCACTCTCTAGCTATTTGACTTCAGGCAAGTTACCTCTGTGGTATTTTCTCAATACCAGAAGTAATTTGATTAGATGATTTCTAAGGGATAGTTTTTCCACTTTGAAATGTATGATTTTTATTGACTTACTCTGACCAAATTTGTATCTCGAACCTCATTTCAGTAGCAGTGCTTATGGGCTTTCTGATGCAGACTGTGCAAACTCTTGCTTATGGGGATATTTACCACAGGAAATCTGAAGGTCTGTAGTCCCACTCCCAGCTCCCCTAAATCCTGTCTTAGCTATTCATTCATCCATTCTGCTAGCCTCCACTCCAGGACCAGGGAGAAACAATTGGAAAGAAAGGAGGAGAAGTGAAGGAGTTTATTTTCTGGAACATTATGGAACACCTACCTATTCCCCAGTACAGTTCAAACCTTTGAAGGTAAGCTATCATATTTCACGTGTATTTAAGAGTTATTTGGATATCAAAGCATATTTCTACAAAACCCTGTGAAGTAGGTATTAACACCCCCATTTCACTGATGTAGGAAATGAGGTTCAGGGACACGAACTGATCTGCCCTAGTTCAGACAAGTGGCAGAAAAAAGATTAGAAGCTAGGTCTCGCCCCACCTCCTCATTCTGCTTTCCCCCACACCACAGATGCCTATGGTCAAGGGTAAACCCTCTTGGATACAATCAGTTTCCAGTGCACTCAGGTCTATTTGTTGAGTCAACAAATGAAAATAAATTGGATTAAGAAACCCTCTCTTAAAATCCAGGGTTCAAAAAGTTGACAGTTTACCTTTCAATTCATTGCAGGGAAAATCCTATTGCAGAGGCCTTGATTACTGTGTAACTTAAATACATAGCGAGGTGGAAATAATGCCACAAAAATATCAGTATGTTTACAGAGGCAGAAAAGATGTGTCTTCTGAAACAACAAGATTTCCCAGGGCTCCTTCTGGAGAAGGAAGAGGGGGATGCCGGGATTATCTATTCCCTACATGACCATCTTCGGAAAGATCCTCCTCGCCCTTTTACTTTTCCTGAGCATTTTTTAAAAACTTCACTTTCAGAAGAGTCCTGTTTGCTTAATGGGAAAGAAATTCTTTTCCCACCAAGATATGCTTATTGCAGAATGTCCAACTCTGATGTACGGGCATCAGTGAGGATATGAACCTATGCCACACCAAAATATGTAAAGCCGTATATGTGAATCTTAGCATTGGGCAGGGTTCTGAAAGAATAACTTAAGAAATAACAAACCTTTAGCGTTATCATAAAGCAGGGAGGATAATCAAGGCAGATTGGGTGTAGTTCCTTTTTCTCCCTTCCAGCCACAAGCCACCCCTCTTTCCCTTTGAATGTAAAAATGGTCTGGAAAAAAGGATTGGATGTTGTGAATAGAGAACTTCATTTTTTCCATCACTACCAACAATGGCAAAAACAGGCATCTAAAAACTAAACTGTCCATAAAACAAGATCATAAATAGAAAAATGAATAAATAGCATTTATTTTGTCCGAAGGGGCTGTCCGGGTCCGAGGTCCCAGCGCGGAGAGCACCCCAAGGGGAGGGCCGAGGCCCGGGCGCCCTCAGGGGAGCAGCAGGGAGCCCAGCAGCAGCTCGCCCTGGCCCAGCCCGCGGCCCCGCTCGCGGCCGCGGCCCCGCTTCTCCGCCTTGACGCGCACGGCCAGGCGGCGCACCTGCTCCTCCGACAGCCCGTCCAGGCACACGTCCTGGTCGAAGGCGGCCTTGCGGCTCGGCCGCACCACGGCGCTGCGCTGCGGGCGCGTCTTGCCCGGAGAGCGCAGGACGAAGCTGACGCGGCAGCCCACGGCGCGGGGCTCGGCGGTCCCTGCGGGCAGGCCCTCGGCGCCGAGAAGCCGCACGCGGAGCCGCCCGCTGGCCCGGCTGTACTCGGCGGCCAGGCGCAGGGCGCCCCCGGCGCGGCCCAGGGCCACGGTGCCCTCGGCCTCCAGGAGCTCTGGCCGCAGGTCGGGGCCAGGCGGTGGCGGTGGCGGTGGCGGCGGCGGCGGCGGCGGCGGCGGCGGAGACACTGAGAGGGCCCGGGCCCGGGGCCGCGACCCGGCGCCGCGCTCGTCGTCGTCGTCGTCCCCGCTTGACACGGAGCGGGCGCGCGCCAGGCCACGGCTCCTCCGGGCCCGCAGCGCGCGGCTCAGCAGTCCTTCGGGGGCGCGCAGGAGGCGGTGGGCGCGGGGCGGCGGCGCGGGCACGTCCGGGGTCGGACGGGGGCCGGCGGGGATCTCGGGTTCGGGGCCCGGGGCTGCGCCCGGGGGCAGGAGCGGAGCGGCGCCGGCGCCCCCGAGGAAAAGTGACTCCTTGCGGCGGGTGTGCGGGCTCTCGAGCAGCGCGCAGAAGCCGTAGGCGGTGCGCGCGCGCGGCAGGTGCGGCAGCGAGAGCGCAGCCTGCGAGCGCGGGTCCCAGTCTGTGTGCCCTGCGGCACCGTAGGCTCCTCCGGGCCACAGGTCTGGCTCAGCAGCGCAGCGCCGGGGCAGAGCCGCGGCCGGAGGCGGAGACTCCGGTGCGCAGGGCGCGGGCAGCCGGGGGGGGATGCAGAACTCGGGGATGCGGGCCGGGGTGAGCACGTTGGAGAAAGCAGGCTCCGGAGCAGAGGCGCGCAGTTTCCCAAGGAGCCGCATCCTCCGAGGCTGGGGCTGGGAGTGGTGCCAAGAACTGCTCCTGCGGGGGAGAGAAGTTGGTGAGCGTGGGCGCCTGGGGCCCCTCGGGAAGTGGCTGGACCGCTCCCCGGGGCCCTCCGAGTGTACCAACGGGCCTACGATCCCTGGCCACTCCAAGCCGAGCTCTCCCACACCACAGACCTGCCCGCCTTCCACTCATCGGTACTAAATAAACGAACAAATCGGTATCAGACCTTTCCTTCCTTCTCCAGTCACTCAGGGTCATGAGTTGCAAGTTCAGGGCTGGCTGCCTCCCGGTCCTGGCTGGGGCGCCAGCTTCAGCACTCTGGCTGGGACAGTGGCGCCCCTGCCTTATACTGGCAGCTCGAGTCCCGCCCAGCCGGCCGGGAGCCCAACCCCTGGAAGCCCTGGACAGCCCGCCTTCCAAGCCAACCCTGCTCGCCCTGCTCGCGGCTGCCCGGGGCCCTGCAGCGGATGCTTGGGCGTGACCGTGTGGTCAGTCTTGGGACCTGCATCCTCTCGGCGTGCACAGAGCCCCTTACAAAAGGCCTGGAAAAGGTTGCAGGTGAAAAGAGCAAGCCCGTTTGCTCTGCCCAGGGAGAACTTGGCGGCGGAACATGCTGGCGGCCTCTTGGAGAAAGTGAAACAGGATGAGGAACCAGGAAGTTCCTTTTTGCTAGGCGCTAAAGCCTGTCAGCCTGCGCGTGACGGACATGCCCGAGGTTCTTCTATTTTACTCCCTCCACGCACCCGCCACGTGTAGATGAAGTTTCCACGATACCCGTGCTTATTACAGGGCTCCCTCTGCTGGATGGTGGCCTCCTTAATAGCCTGCTCAGTCAATGCCGTAAATACGGATGAACTGCGTGGATTTTGCAAACATTTCTGAATGTCGGCACCCTGTCTTCTGTTGTCACAAGAGATGGGGCCTCTGGCTCACACTCGAAAAATAACACTTGATATTCCCAAAGCCATCCCTTTTCTGCTTCAATAGGGAGGGACCAGTTAGAAAGCCCCTTACAGAAAATCTATGTTGCCTCTTTCCAGGCCTCCCCACCACCCGTCCCCCCACACCTTCATTTTCTAATATGAGAAAACTGGAAGCCCAGAGGGACTTGAGGAAATTCCATAAAGGTTAAATAAAGCCAGTTAATGGCAGAACCTGGAACGAGCAACTTCCTGTTTATTTGGCTTTGCATGTGATGCTTCCTGCTATCTGAAATGCCCTTCCTCTGCTTTTTCTCTCTGTAGGAACTCGTTTATTTTCCATAATTCAGCCAGACAAGCATCCCCTTCAGGAACCTTTACCCAACTCCCCCTCTACAGTTCATCAGTCCCTCTTTATTCCCTCCACACATCTTTTATGTACCAGCATTCCTGCATTTAGCATGCTCCTTTGGAATTTTGGGTTTACAGGTTGTCTCCCCCAATAGACTAGGAGTTTCTTGAGGGCAAAGACTGGAACGACTCATTCAGGGTGTTTGGGGACCTCTCTTGAATGTAGGTATAATAAAATAAGAGTGCTAGGATTCAGAATCTGGGTTTGCCTCCCTCCTAGTTGCCCTATACAAGGGACAAATCTGCCTGTCTTATTAATCTTTTATCCAATTCCAGCACCTGGAATACAATGCCAGGCAAATATTAAGTGCTCAGTAAATATTTGAGTGAATTATATTGTGTGGAATTGAGGCTGATCTACAATCCAGGTCTTATGACTGTCAGGTGCTTTTAACCACCTAGCCCTCTAACGACATTATTCAATTTCTCATAGTAAACCGGTGAGGTGGACATTGCTCCTATTTACCAGATGAGAAACTGAGGCTTAGGTTAAGAGATTTGTCTAGGGTCCTTCAAACTATGAATAATATGCTGTTTCCCAAGTCCCAACTTTTTGCTAATTTCTTCCTTCCTTCTCTGTTTCAGTTCAATATAATTGGCTAAGTCTGTTGTGTGTCAGACTTTGTGTGTGTGTGGCTTGTATTACACTTTACACCCAGAACATTAATTCTTAGCTACTCAGTCTACTGTTAAGCATTTTCCACTATCCTTGCTTTGAAATAAGTACCATTATTTCCAAATCCTTAGAAGTAAGGAGAGTGAATGTTTCCCCATGTTAGTAACAATATTTTCTTAACTGATCACTGTTCTCCTTTGGTATATGCTTTTTTGATGGGACAAGCATGAGTCATGCAACCAGGGAACAGTAACCATCCTGCCAAAGCCAAACTTGCAGGCAGAGGTGTCCCGGGGGTCTCTGAGTGCATCAGTCCCTCTGATTCTTCAGACCCATCTGCAGATTAGCAGGCAAATGGTCTTCTCAAAAGCAGAAAACACCAGCATTCGGTCCTGCCAATGTGCCAGCTCACTTCAAATTAGACCTCAATGAAAATGGCTCTCCCAAGGGCCTTCGTGACAGGAACACACAAACATTTTGTCAGTGGGTAAATGCCACCAAAAGCAGGACGCGGGATTCAAGTCATTACGCTGCCAGCGCTTTCGTGTTCATAGGACAACATAGCAGGGCTGGAAACCCAGTCCTTATCTAGAGGGTTTTCTAAAACCATCAGTTTTCCATGAATCAATATTCTATAGAAAAGACAGTGAGATACAGGGAAATTAAATTACTTACCCCAGAATACACTCCAGTCATTCATTCATTTAAGCCCATAGCTGCAGGCTGTGTCCACAGTTAGAGGCCTGATTTTCTTCCTGATTCTGAAATCACACTGGGAAAAAGTGAAAAACAATGCCTTTTTGTTGTGTTTCAGTGGAAACTCTGATCACTCCGATTGTTTCATTGTTTTGTGCCTTATGACCACATAAGGTCCACCACCGTCTTGCATTCAAAGCTTTGACATTGTTATTTCAAATAAACTATCCCAAGAATAACATTAACGTTTACCGAATGCTCACTATATACTGGGTCTTATTTAATCCCCAAACAACCCACTAAAGTAGGTAAGGATGAAGAAACTGTGGCTCATAGAAGAGAAACAACTTGTCTAGAGGCTCATAGCCATGCAAAGCAAGGTTGGGAGTCAAATTCAGATCCTTCTGGCTCATTATGCTGAATGCTCATAACCATTTCCCTAGAGTGTCTCCTTCAGAGCTATTTTTTCTGAACCCATGTCCTCTCTGGGTGGTTAGATAAAAGAAAAAGAGACCTTTGTTCCAAGGCCTTGGGTTGAAACTACACACCTATTGTTTATACCAGCACCTAATAGCTTACCACAGGCAATTGTCATAAGCAGGAAATCACTGGTTTTGCACAATAGTGCTGTATCATTTGTAAACAGAATCCTTATCCTCCCCGGAAGTGTGATCACTCTCTTTATTTATATCATACCTTTTTCCAAAACAGGATTTAAGGGGATTTATGTAACAAAGACCCAGGGAACTTACGAATTAGAGCCTGACGATAAAAATGGAAAAGAAATGCAATGGATTGAGTAAGGAACCATGAATTAGGTCCCAAATTGACATGTACGAACACCCATAACCCTAAAATGGGATGGACAAGATATGAAGGCAGTAAAAGAGGCTGCAATGGTAAGGCTTGGGGTAGTGAGAAATCCCACAGGACCCTCACAGTCCACCAGCCTTGGAAAACCAGAAGAACCCATCTGAATGTCCAGTGGTGTGGGAATGGCCATGTCTCCTTTACAGGAAAAAGTACAGTCATGGAAAATCATCATCAAAAAGACTGTAGCAGGGGCACCTGGGTGGCTCAGTGGGTTAAAGCCTCTGCCTTCGGCTCAGGTCACGATCCCAGGGTCCTGGGATCGAGCCCTGCATCAGGCTCTCTGCTCAGCAGGGAGCCTGCTTCCTCCTCTCTCTCTGCCTGCTTCTCTGTGATCTCCGTCTGTCAAATAAATAAATAAAATCTTAAAAAAAAAAAAAAAGACTGTAGCAACACGGAAGCGGGTTTCCATTGAAACAGTCCATGAAGTTAACAATATGTAAGGCTATATATCCCTTAACATCACAATTGGATAAAGATGCGGTCTCCTAAAGGCCAGAACTAGATGGGAATATACAACATCGACACTTCTTTTTTTGTGGGCATTGGAGTTTTTATCAATTTATGCCCTGGTTCATTGAAAGTTAGAGCAAGCTTACAAATACAGGTGCAACATGATGATAAAAGAAAAGAAAAAGAAGAGGATGAAGTAACTCACCCAGAAAGAAATAAGGGTAAGGACAATATGATAAAATCGGAAATGAAGTTATAATGGAAATGATGTAGTGAAGTTTTTTTTTTCTTTGTAGCTGCCACAGCACTAGAGCATGAGCCAAAAATCTGGCATCACCAGAGCTGACTTTGAACTCTAGTGCTGCAATTCACTTTTTCATTGTCCTCAAACAAGTCATTGCACCTCCAATATGACTTGTTTTTATCTCTTAGATGGGAAAGATGAACATTATTTTCTGAAGATAGAGTGGGAACTTGCTTGTGAACATACTTTGTAAGTCATAAAGTGCCTCAATCCTCTACTTGCTGTTTCCTGCAAGCCTCCCTGTTTCCTGTTCCTTTTATATCAAACCACCACCCCCCCTTCAAGATTCCTATCCACTTTTCTGGAACTCTGTTCAAACATTACGCCCTCCTGAAAGCCCTCTAGGACTGGCAAGGTTTGGTCATGGGCCTCTTTTCTGTGATTTTCCTTCAGAGCGAAGGGAAGGCATGGCAGTGAATTTTGGAGTCTCTGGAACTTGGGTTCACGATCCCACCCTGACATTTTCCACATGTGTGACCTTAGCCAAGTTAGTAAAACCCTCTGAGTCCAATCTTATTTATTAATCTTATCTTACCTCCATTTTGTGAGGATTAGAGATAGGACATAGAAAGCACAAAGGACATAACAGGGCTCAGGAAATTTTGGTTATTATTACTGAAATAATGTCCTTGGATTAAGTTTCCCATGTAAAACTTTCAAAATTGCTTAGTTTGCTAAAACATATTAAGTCCATGTTTACATTTGAAAGCTTTTAAAGATGGTTAATGAAAAACATATGGAACAACTTAAAACTAATTCTTGGTCCACCAAGAAATAACTGCTGAATATTTAATATTACCCCGACTGAATGTTTATCAAGCTAACAAATAAAAATCAAGGTTAATTTTAGCAATTTCCTTTTTTTTTTCTTTTTCCAGAGGAGGAGTGTCTAGATTCTTCCATTTGTTTGCTTCTCCCTCCAGATAACTGTCTAGACTAATTTATGGTTATCTTTTAAGAATCTTCAGCTCACTGGGCTT